GAAGTGCAGCCAGAGTGCTCCTTGGAGGCCAAGATGGCTAAACTTCGTCTCTCATACTTTGGACATACTGTCAGGAGGGAACAGTCGCTGGAGAAGGATGCCATGCTGGGTAAGATGGAGGATCAGAGAAAGAGAGGAAGACCCCCAACAAGATGGATCGGCCAGGTGGCATCATTAATGGCGTCAAGTGTGGCAGCGGTAGTCAGGTTGGCCCAGGATCGGACATTGTTTCATTCTGCTGTGCATGGGGTTGCTATGAGTCGGTTCCGACTCGATGGCAGCTGCCAACAACAACAACAACATACAAAACCAACAACCAACATCATTCTCGATGGTGAGAAACTAAAGCCATTCCCCTTGCAAACAGAAACCAGACAGAGATACCCTTTATCACCACTCCTTTTCAATATTGTGCTGGAAGTCTTAGTCGGAGCCTTATAGCTCTATAAGGCAAGAAAAGGAAATTACAGGCATCCAGATTGGCAAAGAAGAAGTAAAACTCTTTGAAGACGATATAGTCCTATACTTAGAAAATCACAAAAACTAAGCAAGAAAATTATTAGAACTCATTGATAGATTCTGCAACGTGGCGGGTAAAAGGCAACATACAAAAACCAATTGGACTCCTTTACACTAAAAAAGAGAGGTCTGAAAGGAAAATCCGGAAAACAATAAATACCTTTTACAATTTGTCGTTGTCGTTGTTGTTAAGTACTGTCAAGAAGGTTCCGAGTCATAGTGACTCTGTATAGGTTTTCCAAGGCTTTAATTCTTTGCAAGAACAGAAAGCCAAAATAGGACCTTTGTTGCTGTTAAGTGCCTTACGTAGGTTTTGACCTAAAGTAACCCTGCATAGGACTTCTGAAGAGCAGCTGATGAGCTTGAACCACACACAGACCTTGCTGTTTAAACGGGTTTTGTAGTCCCGTGCATTAACACACAGTGCCACACCAGGACTCTAATATGACATACTTGCAGAGAAACAAAAGACCTATACAAATAAAACTACAAAACACTACACAAGAAACCAAGAGACCTGCAGAAATGGAGGAATATACCATCCTCAAAGATACGAAGATTCAACACTGTGAACATTTTTTTAACCTGTGAATCAGATGATAGGTTTCATGATTAGAAAACTATCCAAAACAATCTATACATGTAATACAATCCAGATTCCAACATCATTCTCTGAAGAGATGGAAAAAATAATCATTAACTGTTTATGGAAAGGAAAGAGACCCTGGGTAAGCAAAACATCAAGAAAGAACAAAGTAGGAGGCCTCTCACTTTCTATTATGTACAACAATAAGAAAAACGGCCCAGCTAGGCTCAGTATAGTGCCACCCTCGCAAATGTCATTATTACCCTAGACCTCAACGCCCTCGTTTCTCTGGGTGGGCTCCTAGATCAGATCCCTTCCTAAAACCACGCCCAGTGACCGTGGCGGACGATTTCGCATTTCCACTTCCGGTGGCGTCCCCCGTGTAGTACTGTATCCTGAGATGGCTGCTGGTGGCAGTGATCCGCGGGCCGGAGACGTAGAGGAGGACGCCTCGCAGTTGATCTTTCCCAAAGGTAAGGCTGGGAGATTCCGACTCTCTCCCGCGCGGCCCCGTCTGGTGGCCTCCGGACTCAGGTACGCCGCGCATGGCCTCAGACTCCTCCGGAGGTGGGAGGACTGCGCGGGTAGGCATTTTTTGCGCGGTGTCTTTGGAGGGTTCTCAGCACCGGAACCTTTATCGCCAATCTAGGCTTAGTGAAGGGGGTCGGGAGTAGTTGGGGAACTTCTTGCTGTCATCTTTGACACTTGCGACTCCACGGCACACAGCCACAGCCAGCTGTTTCATATTTGGAAGTTCTGGTGTGGCGCTGTGGGTTAATGCGCCAGACTGCAAAGCCGTTTGAACTGTGAGGTCGGCGGTGCAAGCTCACCAGCTGCGCCTCGGAAACCCTATACAGGGCTGCTATGGGTCGGAACCGACTCGATGGCACATAACAGCAACAGCTTTCATATTTGACTGCTACACTTCATCCCAAGAACCAGCAATATTTTTTATGGCATTATTTTTCTTGTTAAGTGTCATTTTGGTTCTGACTCATAGCAACCTAATAGGGTTTCTGAGAAGCAACTGGTGGGTTAAAACCACTCACTTTGCAGTTGGTAGTCCAGTATTTACTCTACAGCATCACATCAGGATTTATGTTATTGTTGTTAAGTGCCATAGGGTTTCAGAGGAGCAGCTGGTGGGTTTGTTCTGCTGACCTTGCCGTTTTAACAGTCCAGTGCTAACCCTACAGCCCCATACCAGCACTCTAACAGTATTCATAGATGTTAAAGTTCCTTCAAAACTCCTTCCTTAAGCTTGATACATTATCTTAGGTAACTCTGATTGCTTGTGAGAGTTTAAAGCCCATTATTTAAATTTCTGCTATAAATAATGGCCCTTAAAAGAGGCTCTGAATCCCTGACCCGCTGGCTGAAGTAATGATGGTTAAAGTATGACCTTACATTGGTGTGAAGGTCATCTAAAGTATTTGAATGTACAGGTATTTTGGCAAGCACAAAAATCCTGAAAGGACTTTTCTTGGCCAACAGGACAAATTGTTTCAAGAATCAGTCTTCAAAGATGGAATTGTTACCCAAGCCTTTGCATTTCTTCCAAATAAAAGATAAGCCTTAGTGACAACACAAGTGCCCTTGGATTTAAGGAGCTATATATGGAATCCTGGTGTGACGCTATGGGTTAATGCATTGGATTGCAAATTTGATTTGAACTGCAAGGTCAGCAGTGCAAGCTTACCAGCTGCTCCTTGGAAACCCTATACAGGGTCACTATGGGTTGGAACCAACTTGATGACACTTAACAACAACATAAGCTGTATATGAGAGTCTTGGTGTGACACTGTAGAATAAGCACAGACCCCAAGGTTGGTTTGAACCGCAAGGTCAATAGCACTTAACAACAACAACATATAAGCAAAGACTTGAGCTTGAATTCCCCAAATGCATTGCACTCAAGCAATAACATTATTCTAATTTCTGATGACTATGTCATAGTGCATTTTTTTTTTTTTTCCTTTTTTGAGATGCAGGTTATTTCAGGAGTTTTTTACCCCCCAAATAAGCCAGTCTACATTAAATATTTGGACTAAAAAATAACCACCTTCCTCAATAACTCCTCAGCATTTCAGGAAAATCGCTCTCAAGCACTTACATCAACAACTGCTGCCTCACTTTGCACTTTAATATTATGTAAATTTAGCTTCAGGTTTTAAATAATTGAACCAATCCCTGCTGGTAACAGATTCTTCATCACAATCACCATCACTTGCTGCAGTGCTACTTTTAAATCTAAAATCATGGAGGTAGAATGTTAGAATTTTGCAAGATCAATGACTTACTCATTGCAAATACCTTTCTTAAACAACATAATAGATGGCTGTATATGGACTTTGCCAGATAGAATACCCAGAAACCACATTGATTACATCTGTGAGAAAAGACAGTGGAATAAGCTCCAGATCATCAGCCAAAACTAGGCCAGCAACAGACTGTGGAACAGCCATCAATTGCTCATATCCAAGTTCAGGCTGAAGCTGAAGCACATCCATGAGAACCAAAATATGACCTTGAACAAAGCTCACCTGAATTTAGAGACCATCTTAAGAACAGATTTGATGCATTATATACTAATGACCAAAGACCAAAAGAGCTATGGGATAACATAAAGAGCATCATACAGGAAGAAAGCAAAAGGTGATTTAAAAAAAAAAAATTAAAAAGAGGATAGAAAGAAAAGACCAAAGATAAGAGAGTAAAACTTACTTTCCAGCGTAGACATGCTAAAGAAAATGGAACAAATGAGATAAAAGAGCTGAACAAAATATTCCAAAGGACATTTCCACAAGACAGAGTCAAATGCTGTAATGAAATGTGCAAAGTCCTGGAGTTAGAAAACCAAAAGAGAAAGACACACTTAGCATTTCTCAAGCTGAAAGCTTGACTTAGAATATTGGTTTACAAGGAGGACTGCTAACCTCAAGGTCAGCAGTTTGAAACTACCACTCATTCTGTGGGAGAACAATGAGACTTTCAGCTCCCGTAAAAATGTACAGCTTGGGAAACCCTATACAGGGTTGCTGTGAGTCAGAACCTACTCCACGACACATAACCACCATGGGAAAAAGAGTGAATGATGCAGAAAGCTTCAAAAGAAGATGGAAGGAATGCACAAGCGTCACTGTACCAAAAAGAAATGGTCGATGTTCAACTAGTTCAAGAACTAGCTTATGATCAATAGCCAGTGGTACTAAAGGAAGAAGACTAAGGTACTCTGAAGGCATTGGCAAAGAACAAAGGCCTGGAAATTGATGGAATACAAATTGAAATCTTTCAACAAAAGGATGCAGCTTCACTTATGTATTCCAAGTGCTCACTTATGTATTCTAAGTAATTTGGAAGACTATTACCTGGCCAACTAATTAGAAAAGATCCATATCTGTGCCCCTTCCAAGAGAGGTGACCCAACGGAATGTGGAAATCTTTAAACAATATCATTAATATCACATGTCAGTAAAATTTTACTTAAGGTAATTAAAAAATGGTTGCAACATTACATTGACAAGGAACCGCCAAAAGTTCATGCCAGATACAGACAAGACATGGACCTAGGGATATCACTGCTGACATCAGTGGATCTTGGCTGAAAGTAGAGAATACCAGAAAGATGTTTATGTGTGGTTTATTGACTATGCAAAGGCTTTCAACTGTGTGGATCATGACAAGCTATGGATAACATTGCAAAGAATGGGTATTCCAGAATACTCAATTGTGTTCATGAGGACCCTGTACATAGACAAAGAGGCAGTCATTCCAAAAGAACAAGGGGACACTAAATGGTTTAAAGTCAGGAAAAATGTGTGCTAGCGTTGTATTCTTTCATTATACGTATTCAGTCTGTATGCTGAGCAAATAAACCTGGATTATATGGAGGAAGAGTCAGTAACAACCTGCAGTATGCACATGATGCAACCTTGGTTGCTGAAAGCAAGAGGACTTAAAATACTTACTAATGAAGATCAAAGACAATAGCTTTCAGTCTGGGCTGCTCCTCAGTGTAAAGAAACCAATAGTCCTCACAACTGAATCAGTAAATAACATCATGATAAATGGAGAAAAGATAGAAATTGTCAAAGACTTCATTTTGCTTGGATCCACTATTAACACTCATGGAGGCAGCAGTCAAGAAATAAAACAATGTACCGTACTAGGCAAATCTGTTGCACACAACCTCTTTAAAGTGTTTCAGAGCAAAGATAACAGTTTGAGGACTAAGGTGTGTCTGACCCAAGCTATGGTATTTTCAGTTGCCTTATATGCATGTGAAATTTGGAAAATAAATAAGAAATACCTTAGAAGAATTGATGCATTTGAATACTGGTGTTGGAAAAGAATATTAAAAGTACCATAGGTTACCTACACCTATAAATGCAGTAGCTCAAAAGAGAAAACAAATCCTTGCTGCAAGAACTATTCCCACCCCCTCCACACAAAGGGTAGACAGGGATGGGCAACTTGTACATTGGCTACCCAAAAGGGGGGGAGAGTATACAAAGGTAAGAAGTGACTGGCTTACAAACTTTCAAGAGGGAACCTAGGAAGGTAGAGTCTCCAGTGAATAGTGTCCAGCCTGTCCAGGAAGGGCTGATGAAACGAAATACAGATGGGTCTCTTGTGATGCAATGGTGAATAATTGTTATCAGGACTGATTGTGAGGGTTGGAAATCTAAAGGTGGACATTTTGTAGCAAGGAGGGGAGTGATTATCAGTCTAGGAGCAGAGGACCCTAGGACCATCAATGTAGAAAAGCGGAGAGCGGGATTCTACCCAGAGAAGCAGTGAGGCCTGAGATGGAGGCAGAGAAGACGACGTCAAGAGATGGTGTGGCTGGGGACTCGGGATCAGGAGATGGAAAGGGGCTGAGGACTGTGGTGGGCGGGTGGGGGGGTGGTGCAGGCTTACAGAGTACACCCTTTGGTTGGGTGAGGATGCATGGACAGGATGCTAACTATGCCAATGAAATGATAGATGATGGAACGAATGTAAAGCTAATGTTCTCCCATGTAGACTATCATACAATTCACAATAAAACATTAAAAAAAAAAAAAAAAGGTACAGACTGGATAGACACACAGGCACACACGGGGAAGAAACCACAGATGCATTAATCAGCAGCACAGTAATGCCAAGAATTGTTAGTAGTCTCTAGAAAGTAGGAGAGAGCTCAACAGAAGGAATCTACATAACTGAAACCCTGATTTGGACTTTTAGTCTCCAGAACTGTTGGAAAATAAGTGTCTGCTCTTTAAAAAAAAAAAAAAGTACCATAGGTTGCTAGGAGAACAAACAGTTCTGTGTTGGAAGTACCGCCAGAATGGCCCTTAGAAGGCAGGATGGTGAGACTTTGCTTCTCATACTTCAAACATATCATGGTTGGTAAAAAGAGGAAGACTACCAACGAAATGGATTTTCACAATGGCAGCAACAATGGCCTCAAGAGTAACAGTGAGAATCACTCAGGACCAAGACAGTGTTTTGTTCTGTTGAACAAAGGGTCTCTATGAGTCAAAATCAACTTGACAGCACCTAATAACAAGACTAGTAAGCATACTCCACTTATTTTTATCATCTGACCAAATTGTTCCACCAGCTGCTCCTTGGAAACCCTATACTATGAGTCAAAACCAACTTGATGACACTGAACAACAGCAACAACCAAATTTTCAATAGCCTTTCTATTTCAATAGCTATACTACTACATTGTTGCTGTTTAGTGCCATCGAGTAGGTTCTGACCCATAGCAAGCTTGCATAGGGTTTCTGAGGAGAGACTGATGGATTTGAACCACCAACCTTGCGTTTAGAAATTCAGTGCTTATCCTGTATTGCCACACTAGGATTCCAAACTACTGCATTGCTTAGTAATAATTGTAGCTTTGATTAGAGCAAAGCCTTTCTCACATATTTCATTATTATCCTTTAAAATTGTTCTGATTATTGACCAACTCTGGTGGTGGCGGTGTGCCATGGACTCAGTCCGACTCGTAGCGACCCTGTACAGGGTTGCTGAGGCTGTAAATCTTTATGGGAGCAGAAAGATTGACCAACTGTAGCCTAACACTTTTCTAAGAACCATTGGCATTTCACCTCTTTCCTAGCAATTGATTATTTCCATTCATTTTCAATCATGATCATTTTCTTTGAAATGTCACCGTCACTTGCATTGATTTAAATTTTGGAGACATAGTTACAAGGGTAAATAAGAAGAAAATTCAAGTCAGGTACAAAGTTACACACAATGCAGTGTTAAGGGCACAGTGATCACACTTAGAAAAGCTGACAGCATTTGTGCTGACAAGCCTTGGGCAATGTTCTCATGAGTGGCACAAAGTAGTGCTTCCATTTGTTAACTCAAAATTTTAATTCATTAGGCTTTACAGCAGTTCAATCTTAAGTACAAATTAATAGGGCTTTCTGAACCAAAGGACTTACAGAATTAATTTGGCACAATTGTTAAAAATCAACTGTTCATAGATATACAAGTTTATTTCTGAATTCACTGTTCAAATTCATTGGTCTGTATAGGATTTCCGAGGAGCAGGTGGTGGGTTTGAACTGCTGACCTTGAGATTTGATCCAACCTTGTGTTCTGGTGTTTTTTCCTATAGCGCCACACTAAATGAGTTACAGAGGACAAGTTATATGATCTCAATTGTGTGAATTAAATAAATATATAGAAACCAAAGATTATTGGTGGTTTTTAGGGATAGAAGGGAACCCTGGTGTGCTGTAGGATAAGCACTGGACTGTCAACTACAAGGTTGGCAATGCAAACCCACCAGCTGCTCTTGAAACCCTATACAAGGTTGCTATAAGTCGGAACCAACACAGCAACAATAACAAAATGGGAGGGAGAGAGAAAGGGGGGAGTTTTGCTTAGAGGGCATTGAGTTCATTGTAATGATGGTAGAATAACTTGGTAAATGATGAAGACTGTACAACGTGAAGAATTTAACTGGTGTCTGTGAATTACACGTGAAAATTGTTGAATTTGTGACAGTTTTGTTTTATATATTTTTATAGCAATAAAAAACAAAAAAAATTTTAGTGCTTATTATTCAATAGCAATAAGTACTTTTCAAGTAAAAGCAGGCTTTGAAATTTGACTGTACGTATTGTAAAAAAGTGAAATCTTTTCAGCAAGGGGAGTATGTTACCTGGGCCAAGGAACTAGAAGACATTACTCTGGTGAGGTGTCAGTTGTTGTAAGTGATGTCAACTCAGTACTGACTCATAGTGACGCTGCATAAGGTTTCAAGAAACTGACCTTGTGGTCCAGTGCTTTATCCCACAGCACCACACCAAGATTACATGTATGTATTATTGCTGCGAACTTCAAGGTCAGCAGTTTAAACTACCAGCTGTTCTGCGGGAGAAAGATGAGGCTTTCTGCTCCCATAAAGATTTACAGCCTCAGAAACCCTATGCCGGGTCGCTATGAGTCAGAACCAACTCCACGGCACACCACCACCACCACCACCATTATTGCAAATTTGAGATTTTCTTCAGTGTTCTTTCTTTTTCATATTTGCGGGGACATAACATGGACAAGACATGGGTCCTACTCTGAAGAAATGCACTAATAAATGAAAAAGGTAGATACAAACCAGCTCTAATGTTTTGTGGTTAAGTACTAGGAACATTTATTCCTGTGTGAATACAGAGAATGATTTTCACAAAGTATAATGGTGTGTTTAACACTGTTTCCTCAACATACAGGAAAAGGTTGGTATATACTGTGGAAAGGAGTTCTGAGCTTTTTGCTTTCAACCCTCATTTTTAAACATCACTTCTAGATATTTCTATTGGTCAAGATATTTATTTTGAGTGAATATGTGTAAAATGGTGAATATTGAGTTGGGTTTAATTGACTGCACTAGACAAATTCTGAGGGAAGGTGACTTGGCTTCATGAGTAAGTAATAGATTTGTGGAGGTACAAATACAGAATTTGGGATACATTATTAATATGTATTTCCAGATAGCTGGCCCTCCCTAGCATGTGGTAATTTTTAAAATTTAGAGTATGCAGTCATGGAAATTTAAGGATTCTGAGCTCATAAAAACTAGAGGTAAATAATTTCTGGTTATATTTGATTTTGTAATCAGTAGCTAGACTAAGATAATAATGTGCTCTGGTATTGTAGTGGTTACGAATCAGGCTGCTAACTTCAAAGTCAGTAGTTCGAAACTACCAGATGTTCTGTGGGAGAAAGATGAGGCTTTCTGCTCCCTTAAAGATTTACAGCCTTGGAAATCCTGTATGGAGTTACTATGAGTCGGAACCTACTCCACGGCACATAACCACCACCACCACCATTATTTAATAGCATGTCTAGGTCAGATTCCTTCGTCTCTAGGCTAAATTATCCAAATTGGAGTATGTCGTAGACTCCAGTGTACCTTGAGGTACACTAATATGGATGGAGGCAATGGTTTGGATAAGGAAGACCGTAGAAGAATTAATACTTTTGAGTTATGGTGTTAGAGGAGAATATTGAAAGTGCCATAGGCTGCCAAAACAACCAACAGATCTCTGTTGGAAGAATTGCAGCCAGAGTGCTCCTTGGAGGCCAAGATGGCCAAACTTGGTCTCTCGTACTTTGGACATATTGTCAGGAGGGACCAATCAACTTCGTCTCTCATACTTCAGACATATTGTCAAGGGGGACCAATCACTGGAGAAGGATATCATGTTTGGTAAGGTGGAGGTTCAGAGAAAAAGAGGAAGACCCCCAGCATAATGGATTGGCAAAGTGGCAGCATCAGTGGGCTCAAGCGTGGCAACAATTGTGAGGTTGGCCCAGGACCAGGCAGTGTTTCGTTCTGTTGTGCATAGGGTCGCTATGAGTTGGTACCGACTCGATGACACCTAACAACAACAACAATGATTTGGAATATAAGCCCTGTGAATTTCTGTATAGCTTATTGTTGTTGTTGTTAAGTGCGATTGAGTTGGTTCTGACCCATAGTGACCATGTGTAGGGTTTTTGGGTTGTGGTTGGTGAGCTTGAACCGCTAACCTTGCAGTTCAAAGAGACTTTGATGTAGAGACAGAAATATAAAATACAATTTAGAAAAGACTTTTAAATGAGTATTTTATCTGACATGCTTCTCACAGAGTTTGAAACAGCTGAGACACTTCTAAATTCAGAAGTTCATATGCTTCTAGAGCATCGAAAGCAGCAGAATGAGAGTGCAGAGGATGAACAGGAACTTTCAGAAGTCTTCATGAAAACTTTAACTTACACATCCCGCTTCAGTCGCTTCAAAAACAGAGAGACCATTGCCAGTGTCCGCAGGTGAGTGCAAAAAGAAGTGTGTTCGTCTAAAGTAGTGGCATCTGCATGTTGGATGCTATCCTCATCCCCAACCCACCTCCATCATCTTTCAGAATATTGTCCTCATTCCCAATCTACCCCCTCATCATCATGTAGAATGCTGTCTTCATCTCCAACCCATCCCCTCATCATCATGTAGAATGTCCTCATCCCCTTCTCACACTCCGTTATCTTGTAGAATGCTGTCCTCATTCCTGACCCACCCCTATCAACTGTGAGTTTAAGGGAACTAAAACAATGTTTTTGTCATTGTAACAAAAAACAGTGGCTTTGTTAAGACATTTTGAAATTCCTCTTTTTTCCCCCTTAACTTTTTAGTGCTAATTGAGTGAAGGTTTACAGAGATCAGCTTATTTTACACATTTTTTGTCTCATTGATTACAGTCCCCTCCCTGCAACAATAGTTATCCTACTTCCTCCCTATGACTCACCATTTACATCTTTTATTTCATAGATGAACAAAGCAAAAATACTTGATGTATACATACAAAACAAAAAATACATTTTCATTTAAATGTCCAAAGGGCACATTCTGCAAGCCAGCCTCCTGCTTGAAGGCACACAGTTAGTTCATGGGCTTAGAGTCCACAGCTGCTCTATTTCTCCATGCCACCACCTCTCTTGTTGCCACTTTTCTAGATAAGAATCTCACACTCCACTTGTGCTCTTCCTTCTTGATAGTCCTAGGATTTTCTGTTCCAGAAGTGAAAGATAAACTGCCCCCCCTTTTTGATTACACATCTTCTACCATTAGCGTAGTGGTTACGAATCGGGCTGTGAACCTTAAGGTCAGCGGTTCGAAACTACCTGCTGCTCCGCGGGAGAAAGATGAGGCTTTCTACTCCCGTAAAGATTTACACCCTCGGAAACCCTGTACAGGGTCGCTATGGGTCGGAACCGACTCGACGGCACTTAACAACAACAACAACCATTACAGTGTGACAGTCATGATTTTTATTTTATTTTTTTTACACATACACAACAAAAAATATATATTCATTTAAATGTCCAAAGGGCGTTTACTACAAGTCAGCCTCCTGCCTTCAGGCACACAGCCTAACCTAGTCCATGGGCTTGTTTCCAGCCTTTGTTTTTGTTAAGTGCTGTCGAGTCAATTCGGATTTTGATCCATAGTAACCCTGTACTGGGTTTCCAAGGCTGTAAATCTTTACGGGAACAGAGAGCCTCATCTTTCTCCTGCGAAACAGCTGGTACTTACTTTACCAGACTTCCTAGAAGGAGTTTTTCCAGGCTGACTTTTCTTGCTTTGATACTTCCAAAGCCAATTTGTTGTTAGGTGCCATCGAGTCGGTACCGAACCATAACAACCTTATGCACAGCAGAACCAAACACTGCCCGATCCTGGGCCGACCTCACTACTGTTGCTGTAAGGACCAAACTGATTTTGCCTACCTAGAAACTGCTTGACTAAACTCTAGTCAGGCTCAGGAAAGCATTTTAAATAGACAAGGCCTCAG